AATTAAATAATTTCCCAACAAGTTTTCCTTGCTGCCGAGTTACCAAATCCAACTTTACGAAGGCAACAGGACGGAAAAAATGAAAAACCATCCTCCTCATTTGAGTAGTTATGTATTGCCCGAGTAGCTTTCTCACTGAGCTCGGCCACAAATGAAGTGGTTACCAGCTTATTTGAATTAGTGAAAAAGAATTTATTCCATGCCGGTCCACACAACACAGCCACAGGCTCCCACACTAATGAAGTCTTGAAGATCTGAGAGTTGTACTTGGCCATTATAATTCTGAGAGTTCCGAATCGATATGATTCAAAACTTTGAAAGATTGCCCCTACATAAAATTACTTTGTTAGGCATTGATAAAAACTCTTAATTGACTTGACATTCAAATAAATGATACTCCTAGTGTTTTCGAATATAAATAATCACATGCTCAAGCTGTCTATGTAGGGATCAATCACAAAATTGTAAACTAATCCTTGTGAACATTAATAAATCATATATTCGATATTTCCTTGAGCATCAAATCATAAAATACAATATCACATAAGCCTATATTAATTAATTAAACTTCACATAGCTATCCTATTAATGATAAATTATGTTTGTTAATATCACGCTTAAACAATATTATAGTAGTATGCGCAATTATTGGAGTGTCGAATGATCTATTTCAATTAGCGATGAATGAGTCGCATTTGACTATTACAACGATGACTTCACAATTTAAAAAAATTACAAGAAAATTGTGTAGGTTAAAACATATGGGGTATAATTTTTTGGATATTAGTCTTTCTTCTTGATCTCAGATTTCTAGTCTAGATAAGAACATTAAAGAAAACTTATATGTCTCTCTCGTCAAAAAATTGTTACATCTCAATATGCTATGTAAAATTTTAAAAAAGAAACAAAATCAATTTTAAATTTTAAAAAAAAAATGGAAAAAAACGAGATTCAAAACATTATTGTTGCCTTCGTCTCATCATACCTTTAGGGGAAAATACATGCAAATAGCCTAAATAAAAGGTAATATTTCCAAAATAGCCTTTGACTATTCTAAACCTTTGGAATTACCTAAAATACCCCAAACATAGAATTTACAACTAAGTCACCATAATATGAACAGATTTTCCTTTAAGTCCTTAAAATATTTAAAAATTTAATTTTATTATAACTAGTCAGAAGCACGTGCAATGCACGTGCCATGATGTAGTTGAGTACGTAATAGCGTAGGTATTAAAAACAAATATCTATGTTAAACATTAATTACATAAAATTTTCTTATAAGTTGCTAACTGTTTCAAGGCAACATTAAATGTGGAGATGAAACAAATCACACCCACAGTCATTGAAGAAATCGAGGCTCACCTTCCACCACATCCTCCAGTTATCGAAAAATATCTTCTCACCAATCCCCGATGTTCAGGCATTGTCATTTATTTCATAAACCCCTAATCAATTTTTAAATAAAAGAACAGGTAAAAAACACTCAAAATAAATAAGTTTATTATTATCACATTTTAAATTTTTTTAAAAAAAATTGAAATTGATCCAAATGGATATTCATATCGTGAAATATCGAATCAAACGAAAAATTGTAGGAAAATAAAGTTCGAAAAAGGACATTGGAATAAGGTTGGGATTGAAAAGAAATATAAACAATCACGACGTTACGTTTCACAATTAATGTAAAATTATTTTGATATTTAAAATTTATCTATCATATATTATTATGGCTGGACTTCAACATTTCCAACAAATTTTAAATCGCTTAAAACGAATATCTGTAATTTAAAATATTGAATCAAACGTTAAAATAAAAAAAAAGGGCTTAGCTGAGTGAGTCGTCAAGCCATTTGGCTGGTAAATAG